AACCATTGTTGCTCCATTAACGGCAGGGAATTATTTTTTTTTTCCTAGATATTTTGAAGCTTTATCAATATATTACACTGACCGACACTGATTTTGTCACCAGATTAATTTAAGTCGCTTTCATTTTTTTTTTAAAAAAATATTTTACTAAAAATAGAACAAAAAAACTAAAAAACGTCTGAATTAATATTTACTTCTACTACTGTTTCTTAATATCTTAATGTCTGACTTAAATTGACTTTTACTACTGTGAAAATTAGACTAATAAATATTTATTTGATTTAAATAAAAAAAAAATTTTATTTACGCCAAATAAATGATCTAGTAGGCTGTAGGAAAAATATATGTTTATTTAATTCAAATATATTACATTTAATTAAAAACAAAATATTGCTAGGGGTGTACTATTTTTTCTTTATTTATTACGTCTGACTAAAACAAACTTGTACTATTGAGAAAATAAAATAAAATTAAAAATTCTGACTAAATATTTACTTGTACTACTTTTTTCCACTAGATTTATATATAAAAAATAAATAATATTTATTTATTATTTTAATTAAATAATTGTATAAAATTACAAATATTAAAATGTTCAATATAATATTTACTCTTATTACTGAAAAAAAATATAAAAATTTTTTTAAAGTCTTATTAAATATTTACTTTTACTACTGCTAAATTTACAACTGTTTAGAAATCACAATTTTTTGTCACCAAATTAGTATAACACAGAAAAAAGCTGGTGTTATTTTTGTTGCAGGTAATTTTCTCCATAAGATTTAACTCAGATTTAGGGTAAAATTTGTTGCGTGTTATTTTAACACCAATTCTGGTGTTAAAATAACACTTTGTTTTTCCTGTGAAGTCACATTCAGTCTTTTTTTTTTTTAATAATTTTATTTCTTCTTCCATCAAAGATTTTCAAAATGAATTTTTTTTTGTGTATGTAATGTAACATTATCAGTTTCTTCTTAGTCGAACAAAAGGCATTGTTATAAGAAAAAACTTTTTAATGAGATATGCAAATACTGAAAGAAGAGGAGAAAACTTATATATATAAAAAATAAGTAATGAAATATATTTTATATTTTCTTTTTTTTTTTTGCTGAGTAAAGTAATAATCATCAGCTTAAAATGAGAGAAATGTTCCAGATTCACAAAGTTCGTTTCAGACGTTTGCTTTATTGAAGTTTAAGAATAGCAGACACGGAAACTTGCTCGCATTTTTCGAGTAGCGTTAATATTAAAGCAAGCCACTCTCTGTCTTTTCTTCGCGAGAGTTGTTTGAGGAAGAATGAGAAACGTGGATGAAAGTATAACTTAATATTTTACAGGCAGATCAAATTCTCCATTTCCCTTGGATTTAGCACGAATTTAGACTGTTTTATAATTTATCCATGAAAAAAAAAATCACTTTTTTAAATATTATTTCCCCAAAAAAAAAAAAAAAAAATGAATTATTCGTTTGTTAAAATGAATTTACAATATTGGAGAGAAATAATTGTATAAAACATATGGTGGAAATTAATTTCTGATAAATTGCATCCGTAAGCGAATATTGTAAACGAGGGAAGAGTATTTACAAAATCGCATGGGAGATTCGAGATCGTTGTGTTTTACATAGGTTGGAACGCTCGTTTCGCATTGTTTGCTCTAATAATTTATGTTTGGAAGTACGTGAAAGTGAGAGAGAGAGGAAGAGAGACTCGAATTGAAAAGAGAGAAACGCGGAGTATTAATATTGAGATCTCAGTGTGACTCAATACGTTCTCTTGAGAGTTGATTACAATACTTTTATATTTTTACCAACACTTTGCGAAATTACAAAATTTATTAAATATTCAAGATGTCAAAAATATAAATTCTAATTTCAAATTAATTTATTTTATAAACTATTTCTGAATTTTTTTTTTTTTTTTCAAATAAAACTTCTAAACTAAAAATATTTTCGGAAGCAAATTGGCTTTTAAGGTTTAATAGGGATTACACCTAACTTTATGTATTTTGAATTCAAGAGTTTGATAAACTTCAGTTTTAGTGTGTCAAAACAGTCAATTATCAGGACTTGTAATATTTCTTGTTAGAAAAAAAATTACAAATACAGAAAAAAATTATTATTATTAAATTTATTTTAAAAGAAGTAAATCTATTTTTTATATTTAGAACAAAATTTTGTCCTCGAATGATAAAAATTTGAAAATTAAATTAAGGACCACTGTAATATATATATATATATATATATATATATATATATATATATATATTATATCGAATTAAGTGGCAAAGTGATGAAAAATTCATAAACGCAAGAATAATTTAAAACGATATAAAAATATCAATTTTTCAATTTAACAATAATTCAATTAATAATTCAATTCTCGAGAAATATAATTTATTAAAAACCTTGAATTTTCGTTTTCTATTGAAATAAATAGATTTTTTATTTTTTGTAATTTTATTAGTAGTAAGACTCGAGTTTAGTCAGACATTAGCATTAAATTAAAAAAATCAGTAGTACAAGTAAATATTGAGTCAGACTTTTTAATTTTTGTAATTTTATTAGTAGTAACACCCGAGTTTAGTCAGACATTAGTGTTAAATTAAAACAAAATCAGTAGTACACGTAAATAATAAGTCAGACTTTAGAAATTTTTGTAATTTTTTCAATAGTGAAAGTGAATATTTAATCAGACAAATTTGCTAAATAAGAAAATTAGTAGTATAACTAAAGCTTAAGTAAGAAATTTATAATTTTTGTTATTTTCCAAGTAGTAAAAGTCAATTTTTAGATTAAATTTTTTCTTTTTAATAATATTATCAGTAGTAACAGTCAATTAGAGTCAGATATATTCGATAAAATAGAAAATCAGTAGTAAAAGTAAAGTTTATGTCAGACTTTTTAGTTTTTGTAGTTTTCTCAGTAGTACAAGAAAGAATGTTGTCAGACTGTAGAATTTTTGTAATTTTATTAGTAGTAACACCAGAGTTTAGTCAGACATAAACGTTAATTTAAAAAATCAGTAGTACAAGTATACTTTTAGTCAGAGATTTTTAATTTTTATAATTCTTCCAGTAGTGCAAATCCATATTCAATTCGACGTTTTACTTTTTGTTAATTTTACCAGTAGTAACATTTAGTTTTAGTCAGACATAATCATCAAAATAAAAAAATCAGTAGTAAAAGTAAATTATTAGTGAAACTTTTGTTAATTTTTGTGATTTTCTCAGTAATACAAGTCAATATTCAGTTTAAATTTTTTCTTTTTAATAATTTTATCAGAAGTAATAGTCAGTTAGAGTCAGACATATTCGATAAAATAGAAAATCAGTAGTAAAAGTAAAGTTTATGTCAGACTTTTTAGTTTTTGTAGTTTTCTCAGTAGTACAAAAAAAGAATGTAGTCAGACTTTTGAATTTTTGTAATTTTTTTAGTAGTAACACCTAAGTTTAGTCAGACATAAGCGTTAAATTAAAAAATCAGTAGTACACGTATAGTTTTAGCGAGACATTTGTAATTTTTGTAATTTTTTTCAAATTAAAGTTCTAAACTAAAAAATATTTTTGGAAGCAAATAGCTTGGGATTACACCTAACTTTATGTATTTTGAATTCAAGAGTTTGGTCAACTGCAGCTTTAGTGTGTCAAAACACTCAATTATCAGGACTTGTTTTTTTTTCAGAAAAAAAATTATTATTATTAAATTTATTTTAAAAGAAGTATATCTATTTTTTATATTTAGAACAAAATTTTGTCCTCGAATAATAAAAATTTCAAATTAAATTAAGGACTACTCTAATATATATATATATTATATCGAATCAAGTGGCAAAGTGATGAAAAATTCATAAACGCAAGAATAATTTAAAACGATATAAAAATATCAATTTTTCAATTTTACAATAATTCAATTAATAATTCAATTCTCGAGAAATATTATTTATTAAAAACCACGAATTTTCGTTTTCTATTGAAATAAATAGAGTGCGATTGAATAAATCTCTGCGCTTGTAAATAAGTTATGACTTATAAAAAAAAAAGAAAATCCGATAAAAAAAAAAGAAAATTCTGCACTGATGTGAAGCGATGAATTCAGAGTTAAATTTAAATTAGCGCTAGACCAGTCGTGCAAACCACACACACAGACTAAAGGGGGAGAGAGAGAGAGTTCAATCCCCCGAAGCATTCGACTAGCGCAAAATTCACTATATACTATATAGGCAATGGAAAACTAGCAGAACAATTCACTTGAATAAAAGATCACTTTGCTAGGTATCTGTTCCATGTGTAGAAGAACGCCATTATGAGAGAGAGGGAATGAGAGAGAGAGAGAGAGAGAGAGAGAGAGAGAGAGAGAGAGAGGGAGGGAACGTAAAATGAAAAAAGAGTAGTGGAAAGAGGAAGTGGAGAAGATGAAGGGATGTAAAAAAGAAATTGAAAGAAAAAAAAAAGAAGGTAAGAAAGTAGTAGACTGGTTCAAATCTTACGGGCTCGTACCGCGTGTATGGACGTACCTTTGGGATTTCAGTGTAAAATAAAAGAAGGACCTTTGGGGAATTTTTTTTCGGTTTTCCTTTTTTTTTTTTTTTTTTTTCTTATTCTCAGTTAAAAATTGCTACTCATCTCTTAACAATAGTTGCTTAAACGCATTCAATTTTTTTTCTATTTTACCATTTTTTTGTAAAAAAAAGCGCAAAAAAACTTTTTTTTTTCGCTTTGTAAACTTGTGAGGAGAAATTGTTTCCTATTTTTGATCGTTTCAATTCTCACATGAAATCCCCGTTCGTACTTTTTTTTTTTATACACATACATTTCTCTCTTTTATATTATACAAAAGAGGGAAAAACTACTTACAATATATATATATAAAGTTTTCCATTTTTCTTTTTTGCTTTTTCATTAAAAAAAAAAAAATTCAAACCAATTTAATTTTTGAAAAAAAAATATTTAAAGAATTTTGTAAATTAAATTTGTAAACTTATTATTAAATAAAGACTCACCACAAGGACCTTGATGTTTGACTCTGTTGTTTTTCATATTGTGACAACTTGTCTGACGCAGATGACATTGGTTCGTATATGTGACGTCGTCGTTACCACAAACAGGTGCTGGCGTCAAAGGACAGTCCATTGGACAAAGACACGAAGCTCGACCACTCTCGGAAACGACGCATGTTGCCCCCCAAGCACAATATGTTTTCTCACAAGGCTCTGAAATCAAAGAATAAATGGTTATGTAAACAAAATTTTTATTATGAATTCTGTTTGCTATAAACATGTTTTGTATTTTTCTTACTCTCTCACTACAATTTTTGTATAAAATATACAAACCAATGGCAAATATTTGTTTTAGTAAAAAAAAATTTGTTTAATTAAAAATAATTGGGGAAAATTTGAAATAATATCAAAAATAAATTTTTCAATGTAAACTTCAAATAATTATTCGAGAAAAATGATATTTTAAAAATTGATATGATAAATGATAAATGATATTTTCAATTGATAATTGTCGTTACAGATATAAAATTTTTTTCACCGATATAAATCAATAGTATTCAGTATAGAAAATCAAATATATATTTTTATTCTGAATTTCTTTTTTTTTGAGACTTAAAGAAATTTTCAAGAGCCATGAACTTTAGGAGACTTTTGGGACACTCTTATGTATAGAAAATTTATCAAGTGTTTGAAATTTTAGAAACTTTCGAAGTACTAAATTTGTTAGAAGCTACTTTGGTTTGATCGCATACAAATTTTATTTATAGTACTCGAAATGTTTTTCTTTTTTTGTACAAAATTTCCTCATACGTCTTTATCAGTAGAGAATAAAAATTGCGAAATATATGTTATATAATGTATATAGAGCTGATGTATCTTGAACACTGTTTTACAATTCTGGGGGGGAATTTAAAAAAAAGGTATATATAGTGGAAGAAATAACTTGAAAGATAAAAGTAGCCAATAGAAATTTTATGCTTCACAATATCCTATTTATCGTTGATAACTCACTTGCTGGATCGTATTGTAAAAATTGTAAACGTAAATGCAATTAAAAATGAAGGTTTCAATTATTATTATTGACAAATTAAAAATTTTAAAAATCTGACTAAATATTGACTAGTACTACTGGAAGAAATATAAGAAATTATAAATTCTAGAATATTTATTTTTACTACTACTTTTCTAATTTATTCGTCACGTCTGATTTAAGAGTTGTACTACTAGAAAGTAAAAAAAAAATTACGTCTGACTTAATATTTAGTTGTACTACTGATTTTTAATTTAATTACAATGTCTGACTAAAGTCGATTTATACTACTAATAATATTACAAAAATTTTGAAAGTCTGACTAAATATTTACTTATACTACTGTTTTTTAATTTTATTTGCCATGTCTGACTATCACTGACTTGTACTACTCATATAATTTTTACGATTTATAAAGTCTGATTAAAAATTTACTTTTTCTACTGATTTTTACCTTTAAACTATTATGTCTGACTAAACGTATTTGTACTACTAATATAATTACAAAAAATTGATGTCTGACTGAAAAATTACTTTTACTACTGATTTTAGGTATTTATGTATTTTATGTCTGACTAAATCAAACTTGTACTACTGACAAAATTAAAAACGTAGTCTAAGGTAATATTTACTTTTACTACTATTTTTTTTACTCATTACGTCTGGCTTAAACAGACTTGTACTACTGAGAAAAATTATAAATATCTATAATGTCTGATTTAATATTTACCTGTACTACTAAAACAGAAAAAGGTTAGTGTCTGACTTAATATTTATCTGTACTACTAAATAAGAAAAAATTCAGTGTCTGGCTTAGTATTTACTTATACAATTGTTCAAATTACAAAAAAAAAAGTTTGATTAAAGGTTTACTTTTACAACTGATTTACTAATTTAATCATTATGTCTGATTAAAATTTAATTGTACTACTAAAAAACGTCTGAATTAATATTTACTTTCACTACTGTTTCCTAATATCTTAATGTCAGACTTAAATAGATTTTTACTACTGGGAAAATTATAAATATTTATAATGTCTAACTTAAACTGGCTTTTACTACTAAAGAAAATAGTAAATATTTATAATGTCTGACTTAAACTAATGTTTACTACTGAGAAAATTATAAATTATAATTTCTAACTTAATATTTACTTGTACTACTCAAAAAGTAATAAAAAATTAAAAACGTCTGACTTGATATTTACTTATACTACTTGTTTACATTTACTACTGATTTTCTAATTTACTCATTATGTCTGACTAAAATTGAGTTGTACTACTAAAATAAAAAACTTACCAAAAAAATTCTATTTTTCTTAGGCAGACGATTTTATTGCATATTCTTGCACAAAATACACCGAAAAGTGTAGAAAAAAATTGACACCCAGATCCGAGTAGAGGAAGACCCTTTTTATGACCAAAAACGCATCCAAAAGCATATAAAACTTACCAAAAAGTTGTAAATTCAGATGTTTATTGCATGAACATTTTGCTTCCTCTTTACGATCAGCAAAAAAATTTGCTTCCTCGTGGAGAAAGTAAAATTTTATTGACAAAATGTGAATTTTTGATTTTTTAACTTTCATTAATTCTTTAAATTTACCTCAAATGAATTCTTTATATATATCGATCGATTTGTCTTGATGTAAAGAACACGATTTTATTATATATAACCTTAAATTTTTTTATTTAAAAATTTCTTTGATTAAAAAAAAATTTTTGGAAAAAAGACCATAAAAATTTTTTTTTGGAGTATTTTTCAAAATCCTTTGGTCTGATTTGAGATATTAATATGATAAATGAGCCTACTAAATTTTATCTAAATCCATTAAAACCTGTTAAAGTTATCTTCTAAACAAAAAAGGGATCCACACACACACACACACATACACACACATACATACATCCGGACAATTGATCAGGATCTCATATAACATGTTTCTATAAAGAAAAAAATTTGTTTTTGCCACTTTGAAAAGTTTTATAAACGAAAGGACTACAAAGCTTCCTCCACGAGGAAGCAAAAACAGTAAAGACGTCTGATTTAATATTTATTTTTACTACTATTTATTTTATTCGTTATGTCTGACTAAAACAGACTTGTACTACTGAGAGGAAAAATTTTTAAGTCTGACTAAATATTTACTTTAACTACTGCGATATTGACATCCGTTTAGAAATCACAATTCAATGGCTAATGTAGAAAAAAAATTGATGTTTTGTTTTTTTTTCCCTCCAATCAAAAAAAATCAAACAAAAAATAACAAAAAAATTTGTTAAACCAACCATTTGATTATTTATTATTTCTTCATTCATCTTTTTTTTTTCCTTTTTTTTTATTGGTCATTTTTTTCTTTTATTCACCGACCTTCAGAATTTCAGAGTCAAATCTTTACTCAATATATATTGCTCAAGAGCTAATCAATTTTCTTGAAAAAGTCAATTCGATGTAAAATACTCTGCTTAGGGGGATTTTTGGTTGTCTCAGTGGATAATCAGTGTGTGTAGGTTCCCCCTTCTATGGGTCATTAATATAGTGGACGACTTGATCCAGAAAAGAATCGTTCGACTCGAAGAACGAGTTTACTCCAATAGCTTTTGTCGCAGAAAGGAAATCTCTCTTTCTCTCTCTCTCTCTTTCTCTCTTCTTTTTTTCCCTAAGCGTCAATTTGCTCTTTTGCACATTCTTCAAGATTTTTTTTTTTTTTTTGCTCACCTTTTTTTTCCAACGAAAAGTCATCACTCGTTATTTGAGAAGAAATACTTAGGGGCAATAGAAAGAAGAGGAGAACAAGTAGCTATCTTTTTCTCTCTCCCTCTCTCTCTCTTTCTATCGTTTCTTTTATGACCCATCTGTTTGTTTCTTTCCTTTCTCCAAAAGGAGGGATGTACACTATCTTTTTCACAAATCACTTCCTAAGTCTCCTCAATAGAGATATCCACTTGGACAGATTTGTCCAACAAAGATTTACTCGTGTGAAAAATTATTATATATACATTTATTTTCTTTTTCTTTTTTTGACAATTCATATTTTATTTAAATAATTAAAAGAAAAATGATAGGAAAAAATTTTAAATATGAATTTTTATAAAATGAAAATTTTTATCTTATATATGTTATATACATATATATGTAATCTTCTCCGTTATCTATGTAAACATTTGTCTTTTCAATATGAAATTTAATAAAGTAGAAAATTTGTGGTTCAAGCATTAATGAGAAAATGCAAACTGTTTGATGGTAATTGTTTTTGGTTAATCTTTGGTATATATGGGAAAGGCAAAATTTTCATACGTACTATAAACGAATTTTCCCTCATTCTGTGAATATACATGTATATATATTTATGGAAAATATACAAAAGCTTGTATGAGGTCGACAAGAACTTTAACCTGCACTATAGTAAAGTGTTAGAGAGGATTTCAGCTTTACTATACTTAACGTAACCTAACGTTGTAAAATGCTTCTTGCATAAACCACACCAGATTGTATCAGCTGGACAGGAAACTAACCCCATTCCTTGAAAACAGTGCAAAAGAGAGAGAGAGAGAGAGAGAGAGAGAGAGAGAGAGAGAGAGAGAGAGAGAGAGAGAGAGAGAGAGAGAGAGAGAGAGAGAGAGAGAGAGAGAGAGAGAGAGAGAGGGGGGAGACAGCCAACCTGAGATTCTCCCTGTGAGACAAGAAAACCAACTTCTAAAGTCTCCCGGAAGTTGGAACATTTTTATGTTTCTTTTTTCTAATCTTCATGGTTTTTATATACCCTTTTTTTCTTCTCATACTTTTCTTTCTCTTTCAAATTGTGCAAATTATTAAAAACTTGCCACAATATTTCATAAAATATGATTTTTTTTCTTTATTCTCTTATTTTAATTAAGGATGTTTGATTTATTCACATAATCTCAAACTAAAAAATTGTTTTTCAATAAATAAAATTAATTTTTTAAAAATTAATATTACATTAATACTATCACTGATTTTTACTACTAATATAATTTTTACGATTTATAAAGTCTGATTAAAAATTTACATTTTCTATTGATTTTTACCTTTAAATTATTATGTTTGACTAAACGTATTTGCACTACTAATATAATTACAAAAAATTGATGTCTGACTGAACAATTACTTTTACTACTGATTATAGGTATTTATGTATTTTATGTCTGACTAAATCCAACGT